CAACACGTTTGGTTTAATGCCATTGATTTGTCCAAAGTAAAAAATTAAAAAAAAAAACGTGTATTAGAGCAGACATGTTTAGATAATCACACCTACAGTCTCCACAGGAAATGATTCATTGCATTAAAAGTCTGTTCTGTTTATTCCCTTAATTTAGAAGAAATAGAAAAGAGCGTCCTACTTTTTTGTTTGTGATCAGGTTAATTGGTCATAAATGAGCAATCAGCTATCGATTACCCAATTGATCCGACTCATTTGTCCAATAATGCTGAAGCCGTGTAAATGTGACTCTCAGCTCATCCACAGGCCCCGTCTCTCCACACTGAGCCCCGCTGCACACTCCACAACAGGGACTGGCAGCTCGTGGAGTGAAATGGAGAAGATTACGATTGCAATTAATATTATTATGACAACCACAGAGGGCGACACGTTTTCACACTTGTGTAGTTAAAACAGGAGGTGGCGAGGGAAACAGCAAGTTTGCATTTGGGCTGTCACTTTCAAAATAAAATGAACCAGGATAGATCTTAGAGAGATGCTCATATGAATATCACACCACACGGTCCTATGGGAGTATTATAGAGAAATGACATAGCTGCTGTAGGGAATGGGAAAATACCAACAGGGTCACCACTGTCAATATCACTGTCACTGCACTGTAGAAATATGAGCATTTTTTTATCTATTGATCCTGAATTTTCTGATATGATGATGAGAGAATATTAGGGACTAAATTAAGTCGAATAGGTTTTGTTGTAAAACAGGAAGCAGTTGTTTAAATCTCACAACCCACGTGATGCGTTCAAAGTCTGGGTTGTTTAATTAACCTTCACTTTGTAGGCCTCCATCTCCTGTAGCCCAAGCAAGGAGAGATTTACAACCAACAAATGTCCAAAACAATGCAATTTTTGTCTTCTGTTAATATAAAAAAATCTTGTTGTTTTTGCATCTTAAAGCAAAACAATTGAAAAACAAAACAAACCCCTGTAAATTTGTGGATTTGAGGGTTTTTGAACACATTTTAACACGCTGATAATCTATGTTTTAGATGAATTCTAGATGTTTTTTTTAGTTTCCAATACTGTGAATAAGAAACCCTATGAAAGTGAAACCTTTAGCTCCCAATGAAATAGCAGTGAGACCAAAATATTGTTATGTTGGGCCATGTTCAACCCTTACAGGGACCACTATCGGTCCTCGGACCCTACTTTGGGAACCCCTAATTTAACCTTAGATGGAAGCTGAGGTTTTCCCAGCCAAAGCCAGTCGATTTAAAAGCAGCCTGGGGCAGAAACAACACATCATCGGCTCATAATCTTCCATTCATCAACCCTGATTTTCTCCCAACCATTAATTCCACCCAAACGAATGGGCTCAGAGCAAGAAGCATTTTTTTTTCTTTCTTTCTTTCTTTCTTTCTTTCTTTCTTTCTTTCTTTCTTTTTTTTTTTTTTTTTTACCAGCACAGCTGTGAGGCAGACAGTGAACTCACCGCTGCAGGTTTCTGCTTTGCTGAATTCAAAGAAAAGAAAAATACATTTAGCCTCGACGTTGGAAAAAAGCTGTTTAATATCAACCCCATTATTTAAAAATGTGCAAGTCCGTCGTTCATGTGTCAAGTGATGAAACACCTACAGGCATTTATCTCCTCTGCTTTATATCTACCCCAAGTTCATCCAGTGAATATGACATAGCCTATATCCCCCCTCCCAAAAAAACAAAAAACAAAACAAAAACCAAACGACTGGTTTAACAAGCAATTAAAGAAAACAACAAGAAAACAGCGTCGGATTGCTACAGGTCTACGTCCCACAACTTGAATTTCCAGTGAATTATGACTTAGATCGATTCATTAAAGCTACCGAGGAAAGAATCCAATGCCAAGATCGTTTCTGCTTGTTGTTTTCTGCAGTGGAACACAAATCAGGAAGAAAAAAAAAAACCAACAAAAAAACAAAAACAAAAGCTGTTTCCACATGAAAGAAAAAAAAACATCCCTGGATATCTGTCTTTGCATAAAACAAAAAGCAAGCTACTGTACGCAGAAAAGATGTATATACATTTAGCTGTGACAGTCCAGGCTGTGGCAATCCCGCTGAAAGATAAAAAATATGTCTCCCTCCTCCCCTACAAAACAAAAGCCTCCTCGGTGTCATCTCATATAGATATCTCGCACTTTGTGTCGTCTATAAAAAAAACCTCATCGTAGAATAAATTACAATCTCATTAACAAAACTAAGAAATAAATTTAAAGGTCTACAAACAATTTGCCCCATAATAAAGCAACTCAGACGAAGATGAACAAAATGGCTGAAATGAAATGAATGGCAACGAGCTCACAGACAAATTAAAATAACACTCTATGGATAATAATAGTAATAATAATAATAATAATAATAATAATAATAATAATAATAATAATAATAATAATAATTTTGATCATATGCTGCAATTTTTGGAATGTCACCAAAATGTGTTTTGGGAAGAAATTTAAGGGCCTTATTATTATTTTTCTTTCTATTCAAACCAACTAATCCTGATGGTAATCGCTGTTTTTATCCTTTCTAGGTCTGATTCATTTGTGGACTACAGTAGTGTTATCGATTCATCTGAATTCACTTCTCCAAGCACTATATTTTGATTGGAAACACAATCTAATGTAATTTCAGTGCGGACACCGAATGGCAGAACAGAACTCCTTAGACAATTTAAACAAATTAAATCGATTTCACATGGATTTAAAAAAAAAAATCTTTAGACTCAAAACAAAACACGCCACAGAAAATTATTAAACCGCAAACGAGCATAATTTCGGCAACAAAACGAGCGTTAAATAGCACACAGATACAAGGCAGTAGGTAGGCTATGAATGAAAACTGGATTTTTAAAAACTCAACCTGCTTGTTTTTGAAAACATCAATCCAAAAAGTGCCCCAGTGAAGAAATAAAAAAAGAAAAAGAAAAAGGGATGAAGCCATGACTTTTAAAGTTATACAATATTTACAAAAGTGGATCCAAATGTTCTGTGAGAGTTGGTGACATATATTTTTGTAGATATATATCTGTAGCCCATCCTGTTGTGGAAAAGTGCCAGATAATCCAATCAATCGCCACGGAGCCTGTCGTGGAGCTGGGAGACTCTCGGAGGGGGGAAATAAAATTATTCAACGCTGGTTTTCTGAAGAACATTATGGACTTTTTGTTTAGAGCCTACTGCTGTTTGACTTATGGTAGAGGTCATACACTTTTAACCACATCACTGCACGCAGGCCAATTACTGAAGAGTTCAGCCAGTGAGCTGCACACATATAATAATAATAATAATAATAATAACAATAATAATAATAATAATAATAATAATTAATAATAATAATAATAATAATCTGTGTTGATAACTAAATCCAGACCACAGTCCTCACAGAATAAATAACAGCTGAGTGGCCTGCCCCACACCAAGAGAGAGATCTCCCGGGTCCAATGAACTCTGCTGGACCGCTCCTCCAGGACTTGTTTATCCTTTTTATTTATCCCCAAGGTTATATATAAATCACTGGACTAATGAACGATATAGTGGGTGTTTATTGTATAATAGATTGCAGTGAGTACTTACACAATATCTGCAGTGAATATCTGAGAAATGGAAAATGAGTGAGGGGAGACAGGACATTTTTTCCTTCCCCAGAGCTAAAGGAACATAACCTGTGTTGTTGTTCTCCGAGGTACATGCCCAGCAACTGTGACTCCAGTCGACGCAGTTTCAAGGTGTAGCCCCTATTGTGTATTGAAATCATACTTGACGAAAAAAAAGAGGGGAGGGGATGGAGGGTAACTGGCTTCAAGACGAGAGAGCATAGCCGAATGGTTTCCATTTGCCACTTTTGTATCAAACTCAACACATTTTTTTCCTGTGCGTAAAAGGGAAAGCAGAGGCAGAGGCGTTTAGTTTTGTAGCTCTAAAATTGTGCGTCCAGCAGTGGTGGGTGGGTGTGTGGGTGGGTGGGTGGTGCAGTGGGGGTCAAAGGAGCTGCGTTAATGGAGTAAACTGCGAGGCCAGTAAAGGCTGCAGCCCCAGTCCAGTGGAGTCCAGCTGAGGGTGAGCATCGCCCAGTCCCATCTGTCAGCCAGGCAGCACAGAGCCGCTCTGCATTCAACAACTGCTGGGAAT